GTGAGGAGGGAGGAAGTCAGGGGCAGAGAAGTGGAGGGAACAGCCTCAGGTGACATGGAGGAAGCAGGAGCATGCGAGGACGTGGGAGGGGAAGATGACAGCAGGGAGGAGACAGAGCTGGTTTCCTGAACAGAAGGACGAGTGGCCCCTGACACTGTACTGGGTCCCCTGCTCATATGGGTGGCCTCCTCTGAGTGAGGCTGTCCCTGGTTCCCAGCCGATGGCGTTGCCTCCCGGGCAGAGCTGGTCGCTGTGGCCAAGGATGGGGTAGCCTGTGAAGGAGACCCGGAGGGACCTGTTGGGCTGGTGATGGTCGCTTCTGCTGAGCCAGGCGTGATGGCGGAGGTCCATAGTCTGGTGATGGTTTCCGAGGAGACGTTAGGTGTTGTGGACCGTGTGGCCCCAGCAGGCTGTGGGGTGGTCGTGGCGCTGGAGGAGATGCCTTGTGTCCCGGAGACCTTAGTGGGAGTGTCAGTGGGCCCTTGTGCAGGGACAGTGCTTGTCCCAAAGCCTGAGCTGGTGTCCTCCGGGGTGCTGGACTCGCTGAGCCCAGGGCTGACAGTGGACGCCGGTGGTGTGTTAGCCCTCCCGGTGCTGGGGAAGGCAGCCGTTGGTGTAGAAACACGCTCCTGCCCCACGGTGGAGGAGGTTCCCATGGTGGATGTGATTTCCGTGGACTGCAACGTGGTTGGGTGTCCCAGTCTGGAAGTGGCAGTGCCTACGTGGGTTGCCGCCCTGTCTGAGGAAGCAGGGGTGTTCCGTGTGCCCGTGGTCTCCCTAGTGGTGACCAGGAATGGAGGTAAGAGACTGCTCAGAGACAGAGGTGAGCTGGTCTGGGCTCCTGAGCCCGTGGCCGCCACATCTGTGGTCTTCACTAGGCCCGGGGTGTGGAGTGAAGAAGTCAGGGGCAGAGAAGTGGAGGGAACAGCCTCGGGAGACATAGAGGTTTCCTCCACAGAGAGACTTGTGGACCATGACACCTTCTCGGGCCCCCTGCTCGTGGAGGTCTGGAGCCCGATGATGGTTACCGCAGAGATGTCGGGTGTTGTGGACTGTCTGGACCCAGCAGGCTGTGGGGTGGACGTGGCGCTGGAGGAGATGCCTTGTGTCCCGAAGACCTGAGTAGGAATACCAGTGGGCCTTTGAGCTCGGACAGTGCTTGTCCCCGAGCCTGAGCTGGGGTCCTCCGGGGTGCTGGACTCACTGAGCCCAGGGCTGACGGCGGACACTGGCTGTGTGTGAGCGCTTCCGGTGCTGGGGAAGGCAGCGGTTGGCGTGGAAACTCGCTCCTGCCCCACAGGGGAGGAGGCGCCCATTGCAGATGTGGTTTCCGTGGCCTGCAATGTGGTCTTGTGTCCGAGTCTGGAAGTGGCAATGCCCACATGGGTTGCTGCCATGTCTGAGGAAGGAGGCATGCTCCGTGTGCCTGTGGTCTCTCTAGCAGTGGCCAGGAATGCAGGTGAGGCACTGCTCAGAGAAGGAGGTGAGGTGCTCTGGGCTCCTGAGCCCGTGGCGGCCATGTCTGTGGTCTTCAGCAGGCCCGGCGTGAGGAGGGAAGAAGTCAGGGGCAGGGAAGTGGAGGGAACGGCCTCGGGTGACATGGAGGAAGCAGGAGCAGGCGAGGACGTGGGAGGGGAAGAGGGCAGCAGGGAGGAGACAGAGCTGGTATCCTGCACAGAGGGCCGTGTGGCCCCTGACCCCGTACTGGGTCCCCTGCTCATATGCGTGGCCCCCTCTGACTGAGGCCATCCCTGGTTCCCAGATGAGGGTGTTGCCTCCCGGGCAGAGCTGGTCGCCGTAGCCAAGGATGGGGTAGCCTGTGAAGGAGTCCCGGAGGGACCTGTTGGGCTGGGGATGGTCGCTTCCTCTGAGCCAGACATGATGGCGAAGGTCCATAGTCCAGTGATGGTTTCTGAGGAGATGTCGGGTGTTGTGGACTGTGTGGACCCAGCAGGCTGTGGGGTGGACGTGGTGCTGGAGGAGATGCCACGTGGCCTGGAGACCTGAGTGGGAGTGCCGGTGGGCCCTTTATCAAGGACAGTGCTTGTCCCCGAGCCTGAGCTGGTGTCCTCCGGGGTGCTGGACTGGCTGAGCCCAGGGCTGACTGGGGACGCCGGCTGTGAGTGAGCGCTCCCGGTGCTGGGGAAGGCAGCAGTGGGTGTGGGAACTGGCTCCTGCCCCACGGGGGAGGAGGCGCCCATTGTGGACGTGGTTTCCGTGGCCTGCAAGGTAGCCGGCAGAGAGATCCGGTGTCCAAGTCTAGAAGTGGCAGTGTTCACGAGGGTCACCACCGTGTCTGAGGAAGGAGGAGGCATGCTCCCTGTGCCTGTGGTCTCTCTAGTGGTGGCCAGGAATGGAGGCGAGGCACTGCTCAGAGATGGAGGTGAGGTTCTCTGGGCTCCTGAGCCCGTGGTTGCAACATCTGTGGTCTTCAGCAGGCCCAGGGTGAGGAGGGAAGAAGTCAGGGGCAGAGAAGTGGAGGGAACTGCCTCGAGTGACATGGAGGAAGCAGGAGCAGGTGAGGACATGGTAGGGGAAGAGGAAGTCAGAGGGGAAGAGGGCAGCAGGGAGGAGACAGAGCTGGTGTCCTCCACAGAGGGACGTGTGGCCCATGACACCTTTCCCAGCCCCCAGCTCGTGAGGGTGGCCCCCTCTGAGTGAGGCCATCTCTGGCTCCCATGTGAGCGGCTTTCCTCCAGGGTGGAGGTGGTGGCTGTGGCCAAGGTTGGGGTAGTCTGTGAAGGTGACCCGGAGGAACTTTTTGGACTGTAGTAGGTCGCTTCCGCTGTGCCCTGGGTGATGACAGAGGTCCAGAGCCTGTTGACAGTATCCTCAGAGATGTCAGGTTTTGTGGCCCCTGTGGCCCCAGCAGGCTGTGGGGTGGACGTGGCGCTGGAGGAGATGCCTTGTGTGCTGGTGACCAGAGTAGGAGTATCGGTGGAACCTTGAACTTGGAGAGTGCTTGTCCCTGAGCCTGAGCTGGTGTCTTCCGGGGTGCTGGACTCGCTGAGCCCAGGGCTTACAGCGGACGCTGGCTGTGTGTGAGCACTCCCAGTGTTGCGGAAGGCAGGGGTAGGTGTGGAAACACGCTCCTTCCTCACGGTGGAGAAGGTGCCCATTGGGAACGTGGTTTCCGTGGCCTGGAAGGTAGCTGGCAGAGAGATTGGGTGTCTGAGTGGAGAAGTGCCGGTGCCCAAGTGGGTCACTGCCCCGTCTGAGGAAGGAGGCATGCTCCGTGTGCCTGTGGTCTCCCTAGTGGTGGCCAGCAATGGAGGCGAGGCACTGCTCAGAGACGGAGGTGAGCTGGTCTGGGCTCCTGAGCCCGTGGCCGCCACGTCTGTGGTCTTCAGCAGGCCCGGGGTGAGGAGGGAGGAAGTCAGGGGCAGAGAAGTGGAGGGAACAGCCTCAGGTGACATGGAGGAAGCAGGAGCATGCGAGGACGTGGGAGGGGAAGAGGACAGCAGGGAGGAGACAGAGCTGCTTTCCTGAACAGAAGGATGAGTGGCCCCTGATACCATACTGGGTCCCCTGCTCATATGGGTGGCCCCCTCTGAGTGAGGCCGTCCCTGGTTCCCAGCCGATGGCGTTGCCTCCCGGGCAGAGCTGGTCGTCGTGGCCAAGGATGGGGTAGCCTGTGAAGGAGACCCGGAGGGACCTGTTGGGCTGGTGATGGTCGCTTCTGCTGAGCCAGGCGTGATGGTGGAGGACCATAGTCTGGTGATGGTTTCCACGGAGACGTTGGGTGTTGTGGACCATGTGGACCCACCAGGCTGTGGGGTGGTCGTGGCGCTGGAGGAGATGCCTTGTGTCCCGGAGACCTGAGTGGGAGTGTCAGTGGGCCCTTGTGCAGGGACAGTGCTTGTCCCAAAGCCTGAGCTGGTGTCCTCCGGGGTGCTGGACTCGCTGAGCCCAGCGCTGACAGTGGACGCCGGTGGTGTGTTAGCCCTCCCGGTGCTGGGGAAGGCAGCGGTTGGTGTAGAAACACGCGCCTGCCCCACGGTGGAGGAGGTTCCCATGGTGGATGTGATTTCCGTGGCCTGCAATGTGGTTGGGTGTCCCAGTCCAGAAGTGGCAGTGCCCATGTGGGTTGCCACCCTGTTTGAGGAAGCAGGGGTGTTCCGTGTGCCCGTGGTCTCCCTAGTGGTGACCAGGAATGGAGGTAAGAGACTGCTCAGAGACGGAGGTGAGGTGGTCTGGGCTCCTGAGCCCGTGGCCGCCACATCTATGGTCTTCACTAGGCCCAGGGTGTGGAGTGAAGAAGTCAGGGGCAGAGAAGTGGAGGGAACAGCCTCGGGAGACATGGAGGTTTCCTCCACAGAGAGACTTGTGGACCATGACACCTCGGGCCCCCTGCTCGTGGAGGTCTGGCGCCCGATGATGGTTACCGCAGATATGTCGGGTGTTGTGGACTGTCTGGACCCAGCAGGCTGTGGGGTGGACGTGGCGCTGGAGGAGATGCCTTGTGTCCCGAAGACCTGAGTGGGAATACCGGTGGGCCTTTGAGCTCGGACAGTGCTTGTCCCCGAGCCTGAGCTGGTGTCCTCCGGGGTGCTGGACTCGCTGAGCCCAGGGCTGACGGTGGACGCCGGCTGTGTGTGAGCGCTTCCGGTGCTGGGGAAGGCAGCAGTTGGTGTGGAAACTCGCTCCTGCCCCACGGGGGAGGAGGCGCCCACTGCAGATGTGGTTTCCGTGGCCTGCAAGGTGGTCGGGTGTCCGAGTCTGGAAGTGGCGGTGCCCACATGGGTTGCTGCCATGTCTGAGGAAGGAGGCATGATCCGTGTGCCTGTGGTCTCTCTAGTGGTGGCCAGGAATGGAGGTGAGGCACTGCTTGGAGACGGAGGTGAGGTGCTCTGGGCTCCTGAGCCCGTGGCGGCCACGTCTGTGGTCTTCAGCAGGCCCGGGGTGAGGAGGGAAGAAGTCAGGGGCAGAGAAGTGGAGGGAACGGCCTCGGGTGACATGGAGGAAGCAGCCCGGAGGACACCAGCTCAGGCTTTGGGACAAGCACTGTCCCTGCACAAGGGCCCACTGACACTCCCACTCAGGTCTCCGGGACACAAGGCATCTCCTCCAGCGCCACGACCACCCCACAGCCTGGTGGGTCCACATGGTCCACAACACCCAACGTCTCCGTGGAAACCATCACCAGACTATGGTCCTCCACCATCACGCCTGGCTCAGCAGAAGCGACCATCACCAGCCCAACAGGTCCCTCCGGGTCTCCTTCACAGGCTACCCCATCCTTGGCCACGACGACCAGCTCTGCCCGGGAGGCAACGCCATCGGCTGGGAACCAGGGACGGCCTCACTCAGAGGGGGCCACCCATATGAGCAGGGGACCCAGTATGGTATCAGGGGCCACTCATCCTTCTGTTCAGGAAAGCAGCTCTGTCTCCTCCCTGCTGTCCTCTTCCCCTCCCACGTCCTCGCATGCTCCTGCTTCCTCCATGTCACCTGAGGCTGTTCCCTCCACTTCTCTGCCCCTGACTTCCTCCCTCCTCACCCCGGGCCTGCTGATTGCGGAAGGCAGGGGTAGGTGTGGAAACACGCTCCTTCCTCACGGTGGAGAAGGTGCCCATTGGGAACGTGGTTTCCGTGGCCTGGAAGGTAGCTGGCAGAGAGATTGGGTGTCTGAGTGGAGAAGTGCCGGTGCCCAAGTGGGTCACTGCCCCGTCTGAGGAAGGAGGCATGCTCCGTGTGCCTGTGGTCTCCCTAGTGGTGGCCAGCAATGGAGGCGAGGCACTGCTCAGAGACGGAGGTGAGCTGGTCTGGGCTCCTGAGCCCGTGGCCGCCACGTCTGTGGTCTTCAGCAGGCCCGGGGTGAGGAGGGAGGAAGTCAGGGGCAGAGAAGTGGAGGGAACAGCCTCAGGTGACATGGAGGAAGCAGGAGCATGCGAGGACGTGGGAGGGGAAGAGGACAGCAGGGAGGAGACAGAGCTGCTTTCCTGAACAGAAGGATGAGTGGCCCCTGATACCATACTGGGTCCCCTGCTCATATGGGTGGCCCCCTCTGAGTGAGGCCGTCCCTGGTTCCCAGCCGATGGCGTTGCCTCCCGGGCAGAGCTGGTCGTCGTGGCCAAGGATGGGGTAGCCTGTGAAGGAGACCCGGAGGGACCTGTTGGGCTGGTGATGGTCGCTTCTGCTGAGCCAGGCGTGATGGTGGAGGACCATAGTCTGGTGATGGTTTCCACGGAGACGTTGGGTGTTGTGGACCATGTGGACCCACCAGGCTGTGGGGTGGTCGTGGCGCTGGAGGAGATGCCTTGTGTCCCGGAGACCTGAGTGGGAGTGTCAGTGGGCCCTTGTGCAGGGACAGTGCTTGTCCCAAAGCCTGAGCTGGTGTCCTCCGGGGTGCTGGACTCGCTGAGCCCAGCGCTGACAGTGGACGCCGGTGGTGTGTTAGCCCTCCCGGTGCTGGGGAAGGCAGCAGTGGGTGTGGGAACTGGCTCCTGCCCCACGGGGGAGGAGGCGCCCATTGTGGACGTGGTTTCCGTGGCCTGCAAGGTAGCCGGCAGAGAGGGCGGGTGTCCGAGTCCAGAAATGGCGGTGCCCACATGGGTTGCCTTCGTGTCTGAGGAAGGAGGCATGCTCCGTGTGCCTGTGGTCTCTCTAGTGGTGGCCAGGAATGGAGGCGAGGCACTGCTCAGAGACGGAAGTGAGATGGTCTGGGCTCCTGAGCCCATGGCCCCCTCATCTGTGGTCTTCAGCAGGCCCGGGGTGAGGAGGGAAGAAGTCAGGGGCAGAGAAGTGGAGGGAGCAGCCTCAGGTGACATGGAGGAAACAGGAGCAGGCGAGGACGTGGGAGGGGAAGAGGGTGGCAGGGAGGAGACAGAGCTGGTCTCCTGCACTGAGGGACGTGTGGCCCCTGACACCTTCCCGGGCTCACTGCTGGTGATGGCGGAGGTCCGGAGCCCGATGATGGTTACTGCAGAGATGTCGGGTGTTGTGGACTGCGTGGCCCCAGAAGGGTGTGGGAAGGATGGGGCCTGAGAGGACATGCCTTGTGTCTCAGAGACCTGACTGAGAGTGCCAGTGGGCCCTTGAGGAAGGACAGTGCTTGTCCCCGAGCCTGAGCTGGTGTCCTCCGGGGTGCTGGACTCGCTGGTCCCAGGGCTGACAGGGGACGCCGGCTGTGTGTGAGCGCTCCTGGTGCTGGGGAAGGCAGCGGTTGGCGTGGAAACAGGGTCCGGCCCCACGGGAGAGGAGACGCCCATTGAGGACGTGTTTTCTGTGCCCTGAGTGGTAGCCGGCATAGAGGACGGGTGTCCGAGTCCCGGAGTGGTGATCCCCACGTGGGTTGCCCCCGTGTCTGAGGAAGGAGGCATGCTCCATGTGCCCGTGGTCTCTCTAGTAGAGCCCAGGAATGGAGGCGAGGCACTGCTCAGAGACGGAGGTGAGCTGGTCTCAGCTCCTGAGCCCGTGGCCGCCACATCTGTGGTCTTCAGCAGGCCCAGGGTGAGGCGGGAAGATGTCAGGGGCAGGGAAGTGGAGGAAACAGCCTCCGGTGTCATGGAGGAAGCTGGAGCAGGTGAGGACGTGGGAAGAGAGGAGGCCAACAGAGAGGAGACAGAGCTGGTTTCGTCCACAGAGAGACTTGTGGACCATGACACCTTCCCGGGCCCCCCGCTTGTGGAGGTCTGGCGCCCGATGATGGTTACCGCAGAGATGTCAGGTGTTGGGGACTGTCTGGACCCAGCAGGCTGTGGGGTGGAGGTGGCGCCGGAGGAGATGCCTTGTGTCCCCGAGACCTCAGTGGGAGCACCGGTGGGCCCTTGAGCAGGGACAGTGCTTGTCCCCGAGCCTGAGCTGGTGTCCTCCGGGGTACCGGAATCACTGAGCCCAGGGCTGACTGGGGACGCTGGCTGTGTGTGAGCGCTCCCGGTGCTGGGGAAGGCAGCGGTTGGTGTGGAAACTCGCTCCTGTTCCACTGGGGAGGAGGCGCCCATTGCAGACGTGGTTTCCGGGGCCTGCAATGTGGTCGGGTGGCCGAGTCTGGAAGTGGCAGTGCCCACATGGGTTGCCGCCTTTGGTGAGGAAGGAGGCATGCTCTGTGTGCCCTTGGTCTCTCTAGTGGTGGCCAGGAATGGAGGCGAGGCACTGCTCAGAGACGGAGGTGAGCTGGTCTGGCCTCCTGAGCCCGTGGTGGCCACATCTGTGGTCTTCACTAGGCCCGGGGTGTGGAGTGAAGAAGTCAGGGGCAGAGAATTGGAGGGATCAGCCTCGGGTGACATGGAGGAAGCAGGAGTAGGCGAGGACATGGGAGGGGAATAAGGCAGCAGGGAGGAGACAGAGCTGGTGTCATCCACAGAGGGACGTGTGGCCCCTGACACCGTACTGGGCTTCATGCTTGTGAGGGTGGCCCCTTCTGAGTGAGGCCACCCCAGGCTCCCAGCCGAGGGACTTGCGTCTCGGGTGGAGTTGGTTGCTGTACCTAAGGTCGGGGATGTCTGTGATGTGGACCCAGATGGAACTCTTGAGCTAGTGATGGTCCCTTCCGCTGAGCCAGGAGTGGTGGCGGAGGTCTGTAGCCCGGGGATGTTTTCTGCGGAGACGTCGTATGTTGTGGGCCCGGAGGACCCAGCAGGCTGTGGGGTGGTCGTGGCGCTGGAGGAAATTCCTCCAGTTCCGGAGACGTCAGTGGGAGTGCTGGTGGGCCCTTGAGCAGGGACAGTGCTTGTCCCAAAGCCTGAGCTGGTGTCCTCCGGGGAGCTGGACTTGCTGAGCCCAGGGCTGACGGCGGACGCCGGCTGTGTGTGAGCGCTCCTGGTGTTGGGGAAGGCAGCGGTTGGTGTGGGTACTCGCTCTTGTTGCACAGTGGCGGAGGGTCCCACTGGGGACATGATTTCTGTGGCCTGCAAGGTAGCTGGTGGAGAGGTGGGGTGTCTGACTAAGGAAGTGCCGGTGCCCAAGTGGGTCACTGCCCCGTCTGAGGAAGGAGGCATGCTCCAAGTGCCTGTGGTCTCTCTAGCTGTGGCCAGGAATGCAGGTGAGCCACTGCTCAGAGAAGGAGGTGAGGTTCTCTGGGCTCCTGAGCCCGTGGCCGCCAGGTCTGTGGTCTTCAGCAGGCCTGGGGTGAGGAGGGAAGAAGTCAGGGGCAGAGAAGTGGAGGGAGCAGCCTCAGGTGAAATGGAGGAAGCAGGAGCAGGCAAGGACATGGGAGGGGAAGAGAGCAGCAGCGTGGAGACAGAGCTGGTTTCCTGCACTGAGGGACGTGTGGCCCCTGACACCATCCCGGACACCTTGATGGTGAGGGTGGCCCCCTCTGAGTGAGGCCATTGCTGCCTCTCAGCCGAGGGCCTTGCCTGCCAGGCGGAGGTGGTCACCATGGCCAAGGTCGAAGTAGCCTGTGAAGTGGACCCGGAGGGACCTGTTGGGCTGGTGAAGGTCGCTTCTGCTGAGCCCTGGGTGATTGCAGTAGTCCAGAGCCTCGAGATGGTTTCCACGGAGACATTG